GAGGACAACACAGTCATTAGTCACAGCCAGCACGGCTTCAGAAGGGGAAAGTCCTGCTTGTTGAACCTGATTTACTTTTATGAACTAGTTGTTCTAGGAAAGCCAGGAGTTGTAATCTTTTCACACTTCAGCAAATCTTTCAACACCTCTCTCACAGTATCCTTCTGGACAAAATGTCCAGAATACAGCTGAATAACCATATTATGTGATGGGTGAACAAATGGCTCACAGGTCAAACACAAAGAGTTATAGTGAATGAGGTGACATCAAACTGGAGACTTGTCACAGGGCTCCATCAGTGGCCCAGTTCTCTTCAACATCTTCAATAATGACTTTTACACAGGACTCAAAGGAATACTAAGCAAGTTTGCTTACAACACTTACTGGGAAGAGCTGTTGACTCTCTCAAAGTCAGGGAGGCCCATCCAGAGAGACCTCAACAAATTATAGAAATGGACAATCACCAGCTTCAACCATGAAGTTTAACAAGGGCAAGTACTGAATTCTGCACCTTGGACATGGCAACTCTGGATGTGTGTACAGAATGGGAAATGAGAGGATGGAGAGAAGTGCCATGGAAAGGGACCTGGGAGTCCTGGTCAACAGCAAGTTGAATATGAGTCAGCAGTGCCCTGGCAACCAGGAGGGCCAACTGTGTCCTGGGGGGCATCAGGCAAAACATTGATAGCTGATCGAGGGAGGGGATTGTCCTGCTCTACTCTGACCTGGGGTGGCCTCACCCTGAATATTGTGGCAGTTTTGGGTACTGCAGTATAAGAAAGATATTAAACCATTAGAGAGTGTCCAAAGGGGGGCAACAAGGATGGTGAAGGGTTTGGAGGGGAAGCTGTATGAGGAATGGCTGAGGCCATTTGTTTTGTTCAGCCTGGAGGAGACTGAGGGGAAACATCATTGTGGTCTTCAACATCCTCAGCGGGAGAAGTGGAGGGGAAGGTACTGATCACTTTCATGACCAGTGATAGGACTTGAGAAAATGGCATGAAACTGAGGGAGGTTTAGGTAGCATATCAGGAAAAGATTTTTCACCCAGGGGATGGTTGAGCCCTGCAACAGGTTTCCCAGGGAAGTGGTCACAACATCAAGCCTGACACAGTTCAAAAAGTGTTTGGACAATGCTCTCAGGCATATGGGGTAATTCTTCAGGTGCTCCTGTGCAGGGCCAAGATTTGGACTTGATGGTCCTGACAGGTCCCTTTCAACTCAGCATATTCTATGATTCTATGAACCACCCCAATTTAAACATAAATGCATTCAAAGCAATTAAATAAACAAGGAAGATTTTTCCTTCTTTCTCCCCCTTTCCACAACCAATGACTAGTGAAGACACTCTCAGGCTGAGACCTGGTTTTATGGATGTTCTGTCATTCAGTAACGTGGGGAGGAGCTTTCTTGAGGAAAAATTGTGAAACAGATAGGCTCTGACATTTTCTGTAACCATTTTAATCACTTTTGTTAGTGTCCCCTGCAATTCCTACACAGACAACTTCCTCCTACCCTCCATACAAGTAAACCTTTTCTGTGAAGTCAGGGGTGATCCAGCTCTTACCACTCTTTTTTTCTAGGACTTTGACAAATTATTTCTCTGCTAATTTTGTATTTTCCTAAAGTTTGCTCATGTATGCCCCAAGGGAGGAATTTTATCCAGTTACATGCTGATGTTTGCAACTTTTAGTGTGATATTGCTGGTTTCGACAACACTCTACATTTTGTATCATTACCTTCTTTGAAATTTATAACATTGATTTTTTTCAGATCTGAGTGCAATTTTTGGTCACATAAGAAACTTATGTGAGGTAACTGGGTTATTGTCATTCTTTTTTTCAATTTATTTTGTTTTAATTTACGTGTATCTCTGCAGCTTTCAAATTTTGGTAAGTGATTTCTTTGCATTTCTTTAATCTCTTTTTCAGTCTCCAGTTACCTTCACCTGTTTATCACTTCCGTATGATAAAAACAGTTTTATCATGTCCATGTACTTTGGTCCTAGTTGATCCTAATTTCCACTGGCCTTTCTACTTCAAATGTCATTTTATGTAATGTAACGTTTTATTTTCTGACCGTTATCTTTGGATCAGAATCCACATTTGTTAATTCTTCTGTATGGTTCTGGTGACTTTCTGTGCTACTTCTTGCTGTTTGTACAAAGAGCTGAGTCTCGTTTTTGTGATGGATTTGATGTGTTCCAAATCTCAGTCATGGTTTGATTTCATCAGACAGATTTGGCTTTTCAACATCGTATAAGTTAGAGAATATTGTACTTTATAGTTGAAAAATAATTTTTATTTTTTCATAAAAGGTATCCCTAACCAGTTTTGTTTCTGTATAGTGCTTCGTACCTAAATTTATATCAAACAGTTTCCTAATTTTCTTCATCTATGTAAATAACAGAAGAGTATTTACTGTATTCCAGAACTGACAGTTAGAAATAAACCTCCCTCTGGTCCATGTTCCTCTCTTTCAGACATCCACTGCACCCAAGTGTACTGCTGTGCTTTATTTCTGTAACATAGCGATACTACAGATTTCTGTGCCTTTCAGCTCTGAGGAGCCTTTTAAATCATTCCTGCTTCTAATCATTACTTTCATGTGGGGTTCATGGTCCAGTAAGGATGCCTGAGGAGCAACCTGGGAAATAAAGTCCCCTAGGTACTCCAGTTGAGTACTCTGTTGTGATTGGTTGGTAGAATCACGTGTTGTAATGTTTACTTTCAAAGTGCATATAAAAGTTGTTGTTTGTCTTGAATAAATGGATTTAGTTGCTGACCTCTCAACCAAGTGGGTTCGTGTGGATTTATTATTCATTATATTAATAAACCGCCACGGATGGCACCCAAACAGGGACTTCCCTTGCATAAGAGGTGAATGGGGACTGCCCTGAATCAGGGATAATTGTGGTAGTGTTTGGAGCTAGCTTGTTTTAAAAGCTAAAGCAACGCACTCCGAAGAAAAAATTCAGGCGTTGGGAGACCAGCGCAGAAGACGACTGGAGGACACTACGCAGCAGGACTGCAGTGAGGACCTCCAAAAACAAGTTGCAGGCACCAAGGGACATTGAGTGAAAAAGGCTGCGGAGAACTTGAGGTAAGAAGCTGGCATGGGAAGTTCAAGTTCCAGGGAGATAGACAAGGATGTAGAAGCAGTGTGCCTATTGTTAAGACAATATCCCACAGAAATTATGCAAGACAACGTGATCGAACTGTTGCAATGGATAAAAGTAATTGCACCAGGGCTTCCAGTGGTTAGAGCCTTAAATGTAACCACCTGGCAAAGGATCGGGAGAAAAATGAGAGAAAGATCAATATTTGGTCACATAGAAACCTTTAAATGCTTGCCCACCTGGACACAGGTTATGAATGCTCTGCAAAACGCTCAAAGAAGGCCAAATCCCTCCTTAGAGACAGATATCAATTTTCCTGCACCCCCCACTAATACTGGTAGGCGTAGGTCTTCCCCAGAGATTGGGATTAGAGATGGGAGTGGGGGGGAACCAAGGGCTACCCGGGAGGAAAATAGTCAGGAGGACTTAATAATGGATTCGGGTTGGACTTTCCATGGGCAGGAACAGGAGGGGAACAATGTAAGTTATGGCCCTAGCCCAAATTTTTGCGTGCGCCCGGGCTGTGGTGATGGAGCACAAAATTCAAACTGTGGAGCCGTTATGGAGGAGTGGTTTTTGAATTCCAGCCACGGCGTGGGGGAGAGAATCCCAGACAGCTCACCCCCCTCAGTTGCCGCTGAGTCACAACCATGTGGTGAGCGGGTCACGGCATGGGCGCCGCAATCTTGTGCATGCAGGGAACCGGAACTAGGGTTGTCTCTTCCAGCCCCACAGCCATCTTATCCCAACCACATGAACAGGGAGAGTTTGTCTCTTCTGTCACAGCTGCCATCTTCTGGCATGCCTCTACCGGGAGTTGAGTGCATCGGTATAGCGGGTAGTGAGGCATTTGAAGATGCAAGAGAGGAATCAGCTATGGTTCCTCTGAGTGAGGATGAGTGTACGACCGCGGGTACGTCAGTAGGCTGATGGGAAAGGTGTCGAGAGGAGCAATGCAGACAGGAGATTGGAAAGTTATAAATGCATGTCCAGTCATTTACCGCCTGCAGCAAAACCCTCAGTTCCAAAGCTTGCCTTATGACGCGACTAAGGAACCGAGGCAAATTGTTAAAGAAAGTGGCATTTCCTTGTCTCATACATTTTCGTATTTGGAGACATTGAGTACCACATAGGTCTTTACCCCCCATGACTTTAAGACATGGTTAAAAATGGTCTTAACAACACCACAATACAGAGTTTGGCTCACTGACTTTCGGATGAATTGTGTAGCTTATGTAAATGATCCTAGTGGCTTGCAGGCAGCCATGACTTGTGGTCATTTGGTGGGGGAAGGAGCTTTTACAGCACCTGAAACCCAAGTTGACTATCCTCGAGAGACATATGAGGTAATCGCGAAAATGGCTTTAAAGGCAGTGAGGAGGCTTCCTAGCAATGACAAAGATAGCAATCTATCCTTTGTAAAGGTCCTATAAGGACCAATGGAATCTTTTTCACAGTTTCTCAATCAGCTACAAGCTTCGTTAAGCAGGCAGATAGAAAACCAAGATGCTAGAGAATTACTTTTCAGGCAGCTCGCCTAAAAGAATGCCAACAATGACTGTCAGTGAGCCTTGTAGATCATCCCTAAAAGGGAAAACTGCACGATTGCTGAAATGGTCCGAGCATGTCACAATGTCGAATCAATTGAACATCATACTGCTTCTCTAGCAATGGCCTTAAGTGTCTAGCGGAGGATACAGGATGGAATGAAAGGGAAAAGTGACTGCTACTGATGTGGGGCTGCCGATCATTTCTATAAGGACTGTCCTAAAAAACCCCCCTCAGCAGTATGCTAAAAATGTCATAAAGGGAAGCGGTGGTCTAGTGAAGGTCAGATTTGAGTTAACCTGAAGAAAAACCCTTCCCATCAGGGAAACTGGAGATGGGGTGTGAAGCTGCGCGCCCTGGTCCATCAGATAAATACAGCTCAAGAAAATCAGTTAGCGAGTTACTCACTGCCATGGTAGGAAGTGCAGGCCTGGACTTGGCCTCCGATCAACCAGTAAACATAACTTCCACTTCCATAATGTTGATTCCCACAGGAGTTTGGGGACCCTTAGGCCCGGGGATCCATGCCCTTCTAGTTGGACGTTCATCAGCCACTATGATGGGTTTGTTTGTCCTACCTGGAGTGATTGATTCTGACTGTCAAGGTAAAATACAAATTATGACATGGACACTGATGCCTCCCTGCTACATGCCTGAGGGACAACGACTCGTCCAGTTAATCCCCTGCTACAGTGCATCACCACCCGGGGAAGCGGAAAGAGGCTTTGGGGCTTTTGGGAGTACAGGCGAGTTGTAAATATTTTGGCCAAGGGCTATCTCTGCGGCACAACCTATAATGACTTGTCACATAGGCGGATGCAGATTTAAAGGCTTAGTGGACACAAGTGCGGCCATCTCTATCATAAAGGACATTGAGTGGCCATCTCACTGGCCCACTGTATTTCCTGCTTCAGCTATTCAAGGGGTTGGAGGTATACAAAAGTCTAGGCAGAGTGCACAAGTGCATACAGTATTGGGACCAGAGGGGCAGATTGCCAAAATAGCACCTTTCATTGCTCCTATCCCGTGTACTCTGTGGGGGAGAGATGTATTAGGCCAGTTTGGCGCTGTCATGCAAATTGCAACAAAGGATGTTCAGGATTTTCAGTGAGGGCCATTGACCAGCCGTTCCAAGGACAGATTAAACTGACATGGAGAACCAATGACCCTATATGGGTCAATCAGTGGCCCTTAAAAAAGGAACGACTCATTTACCTGAGTAACCTAGTCCAAGAGCAACTAAATGCAGGACATATAGTGCCAACCTCCAGTCCGTGGAACACTCCTGTGTTCTGCATTCTGAAAAAAGTGGCAGATGGCGTATGCTGCAGGATCTTAGAGCAGTCAATTCAGTCATAGAACCTATGGGTGCTTTACAGCCAAGATTCCCTTCACCTGCTATGCTTCCAGGAGGATGGCCACTAACGGTAATTGACCTAAAGGACTGTTTCTTCACTATTTTCCTACACCCTGACGATGCCCCATGTTTTACCTTCTCAATCCCTACTTTAAATCATGCAGAGCCTATGCAAAGATAACACTGGGTGATTTTGCCCCAGGCTATGTGCAATAGCCTGATTATTTGCCAGACTGTTGTGGCTAAGGCTATCCATGCTGTCAGAAAACTTCACCCTTGAGCTATTATTTATTATTACAAGGATGACATCTTAGTAGCTACGGCCAAGGAGTCTGAGTTACAATGCGTCATAACTGCTCTGACTAATGCTTTCCAAAAAGCAGGATTGCAGGTTGCTCCAGAGAAGATCCAGCAATCTCAACCCTGAGCCTACCTTGGATGGAGGATCATGAGGCAGGAAATCACACCACAGCCACTGACAATCAAGGTAAAAGACACTTTAACTTTAAATGACTTACAGCGACTCTTAGGAGCTCTTAACTGGTTACGACCTGTCTTAGGCATAACTACAGAGGAGCTTCATCCTCTTTTCAAACTGCTCAAAGGTGATCCAGATCTAACCTCCATTTGGTCCTTAACTACAGAGGCAAAACAGGCCTTAAAGACACGTTCTTAGGCAATCAAGAGCAGACAAGGCAGATGGCGACATCCTGACCTTCACATTTGCCTTGCACTTGTTTTTAGCAGGTTCCAGCCCTTTGCAGTTTTGTTCCAGTGGGATCAGGCTGAGTCTGATCCCCTGAGGATCCTAGAGTGGCTATTTTTGCCCCACTTACCACCAAAGACTGTGTGGATGATTAATGAAATGTTTACTAAGCTTGTGATTAAAGGCAGAGGGCATCTACAGGAGCTGGACAGACGGGATCCTGCAACCATCTACATCCCAGCAACAAAGGACAACCTTGACTGGCTACTAGCAGAAGATGCTAGATTCCAGGCAACCTTGGCAGACTACCATGGTGACATTTCAATTCATTATCCTAAACACAGACTTTGGGCAGAAATGGGTAACCCACCCTCAAAAGCCACACACCGATGTTGACACCAACCAGTAAACGACCTTACTCTCTTTACTGATGCATCTAGGTAGTCCAAAGAAGCTGCAGTCACATGAGTAAAGTGTGTCACAGGACAATGGGAGAAAGAGGTACAAACCATAAGCCATGGTTCAGTACAGGTCCTAGAACTTGCTGTCATTCATATTGCCTTTGAACTGTTTTGTGATCAGTCAATTAACACTCGTGATTTGTGTTATGCAGCAGGGTTCGTCTCATGTCTTGAGGCTTCCTTTCTTCAAGATGTTACTAATCCCCACTTACTTACTGAGATACGTAATATATGGTTTCTTGTTAACCATAGAAAATTTGACTTCTGTGTAACATGCGTTCGTTCTCATACAGAAATGCCAGGACCCATAGCAGAAGGTAATCAAAGAGCTGATGCTGCCACTCTGATTGTCACAGTACCTAGAGCTCTAGAGCAAGCTAAAGTGTCTCATTCCTTTTTCTATCAGAATGCATGTTCTCTGTGATGGTTTCACTCAGGCCTTCCTGGAGACCAGCTTGTAACCAGGAAGGAACAAGGAAAGTGATCACGGAAGTATTCCATGCTATTCCTTTACGTAACTTGAGGTATAAATAAAACCAGCAGGAGGGACCTCGCGCTCTTCCTTTCCGGTGAGGTTCGAGAATGGTGGGTCCCTGTCTCTGTCTGGCTTATCTGGAGCTGAGGCCTACAGTGACTGCTGTTATCTGCCACGAGTGAGGGGAGAGCGCTGGACCGTGTCTAGCCATCCTGCTTGTTCAAAGGGAAGTGGTGAGATTTTGCTAATTTACCTTCAGTTGGCTGGTTGACTTGTTTGGTCTTTGTCCCTTTTTGTCCTTTTCCCTTCTCCCTCCCCCTCTTCCCTTTTGGGGAGCTGTTTGGGATTTCTGGAGTTGTGGTGTATAGTATTCTCATTGTATATATCTGTCTCATATGTAAAAATATATTTTATTTTTTTTTTTCCTATAGCTTTGGCTGCTTAAGTCGTTTTTTTTCTTCCCTCTCTGGGAAGCAGGTCCTTGTTGTCGAGTTTCAGGGACTTGGCGGGAAGCCAGCTTGAAACTTGTGCATTCTCTAAAAAGACAATTTCAGATCACCATTAACCAGGCTTGAGACATAATCGTGTCATGTCCAGACTGTAACAAATTACCCCAATACCATCCCAAGAAGGGGTTAATCCCCGAGGACTGATAGCCAGTGAGGTGTGGCAGACAGATATCACACATATAGCTGAGTCTGGTCGGCTAAAGTATGTCCATATCACAGTTGACACGCACTCTGGATACTGGGGAAAAGGCGAAATATGTCATAAGGCACTGGCTTAACTGTTTTGCAACCTTAGGAACCCTGAAAAAGATAAAGACTGATGATGGTCCTGTTTATAATTCAGCAAAAGTCAAAACCTTTCTAACAGACTGGGGAATTTCTCACTCCACAGGCATACCACACTCACCTACGGGGCAGGAGATAGTGGAGAGATGCTGCAAAAACAAAAAAAAAGGGGGAATCCATCTGTAGCCCACAGGAAGGTCTGTGGAAAGTGACATACATACTAAATTTCTTAAATTGGGACAATACAGACCAGAGTAGGTATGAAAGACAACATAGACCTCAAGCATTTTCCTCTCCAAAACCACCAGTCATGATAAAGGACTTAATATCAGGACAATGGATGGGATCGGTGGATCTTGTGACATGGGGGAGAGGATATGCTTGCATATCTACAGGTACAAAACTGAAATGAATTCCTTCCAGATGTGTCAAACCTTATATCGGTACACCTTCACAACAGGAGCAAGAGCCAGAGGTGACAATTGAAGAGACTACAGATAAAGACACATAACTGATGATTATTGCTGAGATTAACCTGTATGGATGAAATACAGAGACCTAATGAAAATTATAAGTATGCGTGAGAATAGAGAGTGAGGCGGCTGCCAGCATGAATGTCTATGAGTCAAGGAGAGAATTGTGTGGTCATATGACTATATGTGAATGCATAAGCACTTTAAATATAATAAGCCTTGAAAAGGCTGCACCTACGAGACAGCACTACTTCAGCCACATTGTCACACTAGAAAAAGTTCAGTCCACAGCACTTAACACCCCAAAAAACCCCTTTTGTTGAAATAAAGTTGAATTTTCCCTGTTCTATGCAGACCCCTAGAAAAATAGAGGTCGATGTTTCACCCAGTTACACAAAAACTCTCAGATTAATAAACTTGTTGTTCACTCCAGTTACATACAAACCATTAGAAAATAAAAGTTCAAGTTTATGTCAAGTAATTTCAAAAGGTTAGAAGAAATGTTCAAATAAGTCTACTTGTTAAAGAACCAGGATCTATAAAGGTAAGGCAGTGAGCTGAATCACTGTGATATAATAGTGATTGTTAAAAAAGGTTCAAAAGGTTTAAAAATGTACTGTTCTACAATGTACACTGTTCTATAATCCATCACAATAATAAAGAAACGGGGAGATGGCGGATGTTACAGTAAGGATGCCCAAGGAGCATCTTGGGAAATGAAGTCCCCTAGGTACTCCAGCACACATGAGAAGTGGAGTACTCTGTTGTGATTGGTTGGTAGAATCCTCTGTTGTGACGTTTACTTTCAAAGTGCATATAAAAGTTGTTGTTTGTCTTGAATAAACGGATTCAGTTGCTGGCCTCTCAACCAAGCAGGTCCATGAGGGATTATTATTTATTTAAACCGCCACACTTTCAGGGTTTATTTACTCAGAGTTCAGTAGTCATTTTAAGCCTGGGGCCCAGCTACTTGCTTTATTGTCAAATATGAGCTTCTCTACAAACAACAACCAGTTCCAGCTGGTTGACGTCAAAACCTCTCAGGCACTGAGAATGGAAGGAAGACAACTAGAAATCTATAGGTGGCTTCAAAGCTACGGCAAAATAAAATTTTGGATCAAAATCAAAAAACTCTTGGATTTTGGGAAGAAAAAGCCCAGAAAAGATTAACCTGGATAGTTTTGTGGAAAGCTTTGCATCTTATCATGGCTTAAGAACAGAAACCATGAGCCAGTGACACAAAAGAGGTATTCTAGTCAGAGGCTTTGTGCCTTAACACAGCTTTATAGAGGGAGGACCTGGTTCTCAGTGCTTCTTTTCATCTTGTAGTTTCTCAAGTGCACAGAGGGCCTGCTGGGGTCTTAGCTATGTCAAAGTGAACTACTCACACTTTAGAAAAAAATAAGGAGACTGTTATTGTTGAGTTGAAAAGGCAAAGGTACTGCCGAAAACTCCAGACCTTTGTTTTATGCTGAGGTTTTTTTGTTCCAC